AGTGAATTATTTTTATGCAGGTGTAGTCCTCTTCGACTGTTTCTCTGGTACGATAGCTGACTTTTTTTTCTTTCATAAATAAAACAAACTTTGATCCTGAATTCAAAATAGCAGTAGCGATCTCTTTTTTTTTTCCATTTAAAAATCTTGACATTATGCAATAAGTTCTATTCACTTATATCCCATGGCTCATAACCATTCAGGATAATAGAAATGCAGGCCACTTAAAGTATGTTGGGCAATTAAAGTACTAAGAGATGATGTAGAAATAGCAAAATTGGCTCGGCGCCTATAGCTCAGCCGGCTGAGGCGCCAGCCACGTGCACCTAAGGTGGTGGGTTCGGATCCCCAGCCTGGACCCGCCAAAACAACAATGACGGCTGCAACCAAAAAAAAAATGGCCGGGCGTTGTGGCGGGCGCCTGTGGTCCCAGCTGCTTGGGAGGCAGAGGCGGGAGACTCGCTTGAGCCCAGGAGTTGGAGGTTGCTGTGAGCTGTAATGTCACGGCACTCTGCCCAGGGGGACAGCTTGAGGCTCTGTCTCAAAAAAAAAAAAAAAAAGAAAGAAATAGCAAAATTATTCAAAAGCATAAGACTCAATGCTACCCACTATTTCTGAAATACAGATATGCTGCCCTGGGCTTGTTCCTTAGGTAGAGCCTGGAGAGAAGCCCTGCTGTCCTCCCAAGTGCCTGATAATCTTCCCTATCCCAGTTAATAGTAGCATGCCTTATAACAATGCAGCTTTTAATTTTCTGTCACCCCCTGTGTGGCACCCGTATTGCTAGGATATTTCATTAAGTATCATCTGTTAGTGTCCTGTGTTTCAACAGCCTACAACTATGTAATTTCTCATTTTATGGGACTTTTCTAAAGGAATTGTAGCTTGCTTTCTTGTTGTTTCTACATTATTTCTACTCTGTAGGTGCAAGAATTATAGAACCTTGTAAGATAGTCTTTTCCCAAGTTGATATAGGGGAGTCTATACAACTGTCCCATGCCTGCTTTTCTGGTAACTTGCTGTGCACCCTTTTCCTCTAATGGAAAAGTACAACAAATCTCTTTTATAAGCACAGAGCTAGCATACCTAATAGTTCTTAGAGCCTATTCAACTTTACAACACTCCAACCTAACACTCTCCATTTGCCATACCCACTTAAGTTACTCTTATTGCCTAACTTAGGTAAAGGAGAATAATTATTTATTATTGAACTATATTTATGTATCCTAAAAATCATATTCAAAGGGAAATGTCAGGCTCGGTGTCTGTAGCTCAAGCAGCTAGGGCGCCAACCACATACACCAGAGCTGGCGGGTTCAAATCTAACCCAGGCCTGCCAAATAATGACAACCACAACCAAAAAATAGCCGAGCATTGTGGCGGGTGCCTATAATCCCAGCTACTAGGGAGGCTGAGGCAAGAGAATTGCTTAAGCCTAAGAGTAGAAGGTTGCTGTGAGCTGTGACACCATGGCACTCTACCCAGGTATGGGTAGAGACTCTAACTTTTATTTTTCTGAGACTCTAACTCAAAAAAAGGGTGGGGGTGGCATCTGTAGCTCAAAGGGGTAGGGCGTTGGCCCCATATGCCGCAGGTGGTGGGTTCAAACCCAGCCCCAGCCAAAAACTGCAAAAAAAAGAAATGTCAGTTTATGTGTTCTTTTATCAATAGTTTTCATTAATAAGTGGAGTCATTGTCTTTTGTACTTATAATTGCAGGGGATTGACTATTAAATCTTTATTTAAACTTATAAAATTTTGCTTTTGCTCTGGTTATCTCCAGAATCTTTCTTAGCAACTACTCAACCTAGACGATCCTAAATTAGCCATCTGCCTTCTGTTCTCCTCCTCTTATTTTATCTGAATTTAATAATTGAGAGAATAAAAAGAAAATAACCCCTTAGATGTGTATTTCGTATATGCTGTGTCTCTGTAGCATCTCTTCTTCCAGGACCAGTAAAACCATTGTATGTGAATCTACATTAACTACCATATTTCCATGTTTCTCTTTCAATTTATTGCCACTGCCAGAGATTATCCTTTCTAGATATGTACCAAAAATGCAATGATTCTAGATAATCCTTCCACTTGAGATTTCATCTTCCATTGTGTTCTCAATTTTAGAATGTTATTATGAGATCCGCGTTTGCAAATAATACTTACATATGCCTGTTTCAGTGATACTTTTGGTTTATATTACACTTTATCATCAGCCTTGATAGATTGGATATCTGATAAGCTGAAAGTGACACATTATTTGAAATGTCTTTCTAATCACTAGAAATAACAGTTTTATTTATTGATGATTAGAAAGTAAATTAGAACTTTTCCGGTGAAAGTTGTAATGCTAACAATCGAATCATATTTGTATTTATAGAGCCTTTCTTTGAACCCTATGTGTTTTTATCATTTAATCATAGGAAATTCTATATACATAAAAGGGTAATATATCTTTTATACTAGGGGGTATTAATGGTCACACTGTTTAAGTGAGTTGCCCAAGGTCACTCAGTGAGTTGTTGGTGGAGCCAGAAATAGAATCTAAGTCTCCTGACTCCCAATTCAGTTCTCTATCCTCGATGTAGTTTTCTATCCTCTATACCCCTGCTGCCTCTCATGGGAAAAGAAGTTAATCTTCCAGCTATTAATAGCCACCAAATTGGTGGTAGCAGCACAGTGGAGAAAAGTAACTGTCTTTACACTGCAGCATTAGTATAAAAATATCTAGTAATGGAAAATTTGACAAATGTCATGTTAAAGGGAGTGGAAAATTTTTTTAAGATCTGGATCTCATTTATCTAGTTCTCAGAAAAGTAAAATTCCTTAGTAGAATCAGGATCATATTTTTCTTCCTGTTTTTAAATTGTATTTCCTAGAGGGTAATTGTCAACTTAGCCATAGCAGAGCCTGTTGTCAACTAACATAATAAGAGTAATGCATGTACTATTGGTTATTGTTATAAGTGTATTTTCTAATTGAAATATATAGTGCTTATTTTATTCTACTTTCAGTTTTATTTAAGTTAGAATAATATAATAAAGCAAATAAACATTAACTGGGAATTTTAATTTATGATTTAAACATACAGGCTGAAATACACATTATACTTTCTTCCATGAGCCATACACGCCAAGCAAAGGCACTTTGTGTCAAGAACCAAGTTTATCAGGATAAAATAGCCAGATTAGAAAAAAGTTACAAATGTGAGATCAGCATACTGGAGTTGACCAAGCTTATTGTTACATATGTAGTCAATCCATTATTTGGGGTATTAATGAAAGGTATTTGATAGATGTTTATGTACTTAAATAGTAAATTTAGTGTTGTGGTAATTCATACTTAAGTTCTAACAAAAAAAAAAACTGCCTCTCAATTATGGTCCAAGAATCAAAAATTCTCATACTAAAAGTATCTGGATTTTATATTTCTGTTTAAAATTACTAGAAATATTTAGTTAGAATGATAATATAATCCAATGGAGAAGAAAATAGGGATAACTTGATCAGTATTATGCTTTAACTATAAGAAAAATGAGATTAGTAGAAATTGGAAAATTTTAGGGAAAAGGAAGAGGTAAAAAATATGGTTATTTGAGACCATAATGATTAAAAAGTTAATGGTAAAAGGATAATTAGAAAAAAGAGAGAGTGTGTAGAATAATATAATTAGAGTCAAGTATGACTCCTTAGGAAAATGTATGTTTCCTGCATAGAGGAAGAAGAGAATAAAACAGATGTTGGAGAAGTAGTAGATGTATAATTTTGAAAAACTACTTTGAAAAACTACAGAAGTTGTAGAATAACACTAAAAAAAGATCAATCATCAAACTTGGTGACCTCTTGACATATGAGAGGTTTGCTTTTGCAGATTGATAATGGTCAAAATACTCTGAACTCTTTAGATGTGTTCATTTATCTTTGCTAGTAAACCTGTTTTTTGAAAACCTGTGAGTGTGTTTGATACAAGAAACAAATAACTAAAACGCTTGATTAGTTACATTTATCTTTCAGTATCCTAGAGGTTGGGTCATTCGTTCTGGGAACACCCACAAATACCAAAATTTACAAATGCTCAAGTCCCTTATAAAATGCATAGTATTTGCATGTGCCCTATGCCTGTCTTGCCATGTACATCAAGTCAGGGGTGTCCAACTTGCAGCCTATGGCCTGCATGCTGATTTTGTGAGGACCTTTTTTGCTCATCTTACAAAAAGTATGCATGACCCTTTTTTTGCTAATCAGCTTTCATTAATGTTTGTGTATTTACTATATGGCCTCAAACAACTTTTATTTTTTCATTGTGCACCAGAAAAGAGAAAAGGTTGGACACCTACGTTAAATCATCTTGATTACTTATAATATCTAATGTAATGTAATGTAAATGCTATGTTAAATAATTGCTATGCAGTATATTTCATTTGTATTTTTATTGTCATTCTGGTTGGTTTTTTCCTGAATATTTTTGATTTATAGTTGATCAAATCCATGAATGCAAAACCCACGGCAATCAAGGACTAAGTGTATATACCTGGTATCATAACAGAGAAACTGTTCTTTCATTCACCTGGAATTTTACTGGGTATTACCATTCTTGTTAATTTAAACTAGACTTCCACTCAAGTAGAAATAAACTGGTGATGTTTTACAAGAGAGCAAGTATTAATCTCTATGCCTACAAATGTTAAGGACCTTTCTCTTACCTTAAACTCAAATCAAACATGAAAGCTGAAATTGCTTGTGAATTTTATTGGAATTGGATGGAAATTTGTTTTCTGATTATCTAATGCCTCAAGATAGCTATAACTATAAATTAATAATGATGTTAGCAATTTATTTTTGTTTTCTATTAAAGTCTTTTTATAATGAATTTATTAACTTTATTTAAAATGTTTAACAACCATATTTTTCATTTCTAATTTATTTTCTGTCAGATTTTTATCAGTTGGCAGAAAAGTGCCTCATTATTAGGGTTATTGAGCATCTTTTTAATTTTGTTTAACAGGTGCATCTTCAAGTGAATCTAATCTGCTTAAAATTCCTCCACAAAAAAGAACTCGGAGAAAACTAATGTCTTCTCCCTTGAAAGCACAACATGCTCAAAAGTCCCTACCATTTGAAAGTACACAACTCAATGATTCTCTCAGCAAAGAGCTTCAACCTATTGTGTATACTCCAGAAGACTGTAGAAAAGCTTTTCAAAATCCATGTACAGTGACCTTAATGAAACCATCATCACATATTACAAGTTTTCAGGCTGTCAGCTCAAATATAAGCAGCAATAATTCTCTGAAGATGTTAATGGAAGTAAACACCCCTCCTAACAGGGAAACAAAATGTGGACAGGAAGATTTGGACTCTACATTTACTATTTGTGAAGACATCAGGAGCTTGAAGAGCAAATTACCTGAGCAAGAATCACTACCAAACAACAACAAAAACATTTTACAACGGTACACAAAAAAGAGTATTTGCCAATTCTTTTTTTCTTTTAATTTAGCCTTTATAAACTATTGCTTTCTTTTTTTCTGTAGCTATATTTGAGGTCTGTTTCATAGACCAAGTACATGTACTATTTTCATTGCAAAGCAATGTTTTACTTTCATTAAATCTTAATTAACTTCTCTCTGACTAACACAATATTTTAAAGTCTTAAATTTGATATTTTGAGTCAGCTGACCCCTCATTAGGCTAGAGAGGCCTTAAGATACATTTAGTTTTTCTTACTCCAAAGTTAAGTAATACAAGCTATCATTGAAGGATTATTGTATTTGTTATTGTTCATTAATATCTTCACTGAAGAAAATTCCACAGTTTCTGTTGATGGTTAGCAAATCTCACCTTACTCTGGAGCAAACCTATTCTCACTTCATGTTTATAGCCACACCCAATCTAAATATAGGAAGAAAAATACCTTTACTTTTCTATGCCCTTGATAATGCAGAAATCACTTCATAGTAACTCTACCTGTGGTGTTAAAAAGAAAAAAAAAATACCCCTTGGCAAGCAAGGGAAGTTTTCTAGTATAGAATTTTTTTATTTATTAATACAAAATGTTTTTTTAATTAGAGAAATGTTTGTTTTTTCTCTCTAGTGTAAGTCAAGTTTATTCTTTTTTATTTGTCACTGTTTAATATACAGGCTTGACCCTTCATCATCAACTAAGCATTCTATGCCTGTACCAACTGTAGTACCATCCTACATGGGGATGACTGCTGCTGCCAAAAGGAAACGAAAATTAACAAGGTATGATTAAACATGAACTCCTTAGTCTCTATGTGTATATAAAGTCATCTTTGTGCTTTGTTTCCTATAGCTCTTTTCTATTTCTTATAATTAGACTGTCAATTCATATTTAAACATTTATAGTACATTACTCTGAATGAGTACTGGATTTATGATTTTGAAGGGACATCTTGAAAAGGTTCAAGTATTCACTTGGTATTTATAAAAAAGTATTCCATATTTCAGATTGTTAAAAATAAATTGAAGAGTCCCCTAGCTTTTAAAAAAATCTTTTTTTTTTTTTTTTTTGAGACAGAGTCTCACTATGTCACCCTCAGTAGTGTGCCATGGTTTCACAGCTCACAGCAACCTCAAACTCTTGAGCTTAAACAATTCTCTTGTCTCATCCTCCCTAGTATTGGGGACTACAGGCTAAAAATATCTCTTAATTTAAACTTCTGGTGACTATTTTTATTCATTTGATTATTTTTCATTTTAGAAAAATGAAATTATTGAATTTCTTCCATCCCAAAATCATATTATTTTAGTGGATTTTTATGTATGACTAAAACACAGCAAAGAGACTTCTGTTTCTGGCTATGACAGTGTAGCTTGTGACTAGGTTACGGGTCAAGAACAATTATAAAAGCTGGGTAAAATGCATCAGCTGCTTAAAGGCACTAAAAAACAACCAAGGCAGCAAGGACTTGAGGGTCTAAGAGCCCAGTGAAAAGGGAAATATGCTATAGAGAGCCAGGCTACCTCTTTTTCATTTAGCATTTGCCAATTCATGGCTTAAGGTATAGACACCAAACTTTAGAGCTATCAGCAGTCTCACTAAGCTAGGAAAAAAAATTATCCTGTGGCACTTTTACCTCAAAGTGTTGACCATGTTTTAAACTTTGTGAAATACAAAGCTAAGAACCCAAGCTAAAAGTAGCTGCCAGAGGCTCCATATTATTTAACAGAGTTTTGACATTCTAATGGAGCTTTGACACAAAAACTTGGGTACAGGGATCATTATGAAAAAGAAATACTGTTAAACACCTCAGGATTTTGAGATCCCTGAAAGGTAAAGTAGAAATACACCAGTTCTTGCATTGTTTTTGGGGGATTTTTTTGTTTGTTTGTTTGGTTTTTTTTGTTATGCAGGCTAAAGTACTATGGCATCAGCCTAGCTCATAGCAGGCTCAAACTCCTGGGCTCAAACAGTCCTCCTGCCTCAGCCTCTCGAATAGCTGAGACTACTGTCATGAGCCACCACTGGCTAATTTTTCTACTTTTAGTAGAGATGGAGCCTCCCCTTATTCACACTGGCCTCCAATTTCTATTCTCAAGTGCCTCCCACCTTGGCCTCTCAGAGTGCTAGGGTTACAAGTGTAAGCTAGCATACTAGCCCTAGTTCTTGAAAGTCTTAAACAGACCTTACATCAACTTGGTCCTTGATAGAATCAAGATCTGTCTCTACTCTGCCAATTTATCAGAAGAAAATTAAATCATCTCTGGAAAAATATACCATCTAGATAGAACCTCTACAGTTTTTTCTATCAGTGTTTGGCACTTAAAAATTACAAAGTATGTCAGGAGACAGGATCAAATGAGGAAAGGAAAAAAGGGAGCAAATTAGAGAGGCAGTGATCCTGAAGTGATCTAAATATTGGGATTATTAGATAGGAATTTTAAAAATTTTATAGATTCATGTCAATAAAATAGGTGAGAGAATTTCTCAAATAACCAGATGCTATTAAAATGAATCAAACGGATATTCTAAAACTGAAAAGATGGAATTTACAAAATTAAGAACTCAATAAATCATTTTAGCAGATTGTTCTCAAGAGAAGAGAGTGTTAGTGAACTAAAAGATAGGTGGATAGAAAAATATCCAAACTGATGCACAAAAGGATAAAATGATGGAAAAGAGACTTATGTGGGTACACAGTTTAAAAATAATGTATGTATTTTGAGTCTCAGAAAGGAATGAGAGAATGAATTGGGAAAAATAGTATTTGAGGAGATTATGGCTAATAATTTTCCATAATTAACAAAAGACATTAAATCACAGATTCAAGAGGTACTGCAAATCACAAGCAAGATTAATATATAGAGAAAGATACCTAGACACATACTTGCAGTTGTAAAACAACTAAAAACCAAAGATAAGGAAAATGTCTTAAATATACTGAGTTATATGACATTAGGTCCATGATAGATTATTTCCTACGTGTTAAATGCAATGACTGAATATACCAAATAAATGTGAAGTTGACCTGACTTGCTATACCTCTTTTTTTTTTTTTTTTTTGCCATGTGATTGTGGGGAGTAAAGTGTAAGAGTTTAAGATAACTCTTTAACTTTTTTCAAATTTATTTTCCACCATGAAGCTGTTGTCATCTGGGCTAGAAGAAGCAAATTTACAAATAGTCCTACTTATTTGTACTACCTAAAATGTCTTTTCATAGGTGAATTTAGGATTTGCCTTTGTTCCTCCAAAACAAAGTACTGCAGAGCCTTAGAATATGTAAATTTAAAATGCTTGGATTTACTTTCCGTGAATCTCTCTAACCATGGCATTTAAAAATTTGTATTTTGCTGAGGGACAATTCTGAATGTATGATTAATTGTGAATTGTGTCTAGTTTACATATATGTATCAGTCATTTCATGAGTGAGCCTAACTAACCACTATCATCTGTTTCAACCACTTTCTTACTAATTTACTCTTGATAATTTTGTCATTGATTCTATGAATTAATGTCAATATGTTTTCTGTATCTTCACTGGTGACATGTGTTTACTGAGATGTGGCAAAAGTTTTTAACTAAAAAATAATTTTTAAATGTAAATATAGTCATTATCAAATCAAATTTTTTCTAAGTAATGTCCCTGTTTGTAAATTATATATTCGGATTGGTTTTAGATGAGTTAAGGGGTTTCCACATATTATATGTATATTCACATATAAAATTGTAGAATAATATTAAAGGACATGTAAAGAAAGTAACTTGACGTCCTGTAGCCTATTAACTGCTCTATTACATTTCCTCTGGTACCAATAATTAGATCCTGCCATTAGCTTAGGTTAAAAGAGATTAATGCTAGAAATGTACATAATTACTTTTTAAAAAGTCTTCCTTTTCCTCAATTAATGCTACATGAACTTAAGAATAATAAACTCTGGTATTTTCCACTTAGCAGTTTTATATGTTATTATGTATATATTCTAATATGATTTAAAAAATAAAGAAAGGCAGTTTCCATGTATATTCATTTTAGGTACTTTTCATCAGTTGTTGTCTCTAAAAAAGAACAGGCGTCCAGGCACTGGGTATGAGATGTATTGTGTTTATTGAGCAGAAACATTCTACCTATGTAAGGGAACAAAAGGTTAATTCTTAACTTTTATGAGTACTTATGGAAAATTTGGCACACAAATGGAAAAGTCTTTGAGTTCTTTTCAGTATATTCATTAACATAATTTGAATTTGTACTCAATGATTTTAAGTTTTTTTAGCTTATCATCTAACTCTGAACATAATATTAAATGTTTTATCAGTACACTACTTTAACTAAAAATGTTTGGGCATATTTTACATACAAATATGCAATTTCTTTTCTTAGGAGTAGAGTTTATTCCTAGAAATAGGAGTTTTAAACAAGCAGATTTATTCAAAAGCCTTACTCTTTTCTAGTTAGGAACATGCTATGAGAGAAAGTTAGGGTATTAGAACTAACCAGAATAAAGCGTCATACCATAAAATAATAGAGACAACTTTAAGATAAATTGTAAGAAAAAGCAACAGTTATCAAAAATAGGCCATAACATGTTCTTCATATTTGAAGAAACAAAATCAACAAGTGACCAAAAAAAATTTCTGCCTTGGACAGTTTTGATACACAGTTTATCAAAAAATGATGCTTAATATTCAAAATAGAATGACAGAAACTCTATTTAGTATAATTTAGGAAGGGAGGATACTGTAGTTCGTGTGTTATTTGTGCATAGAAGTTTATATCTTATTAAATTGTATCTCTTTTACTACTACAACTAAGTAGTGCCCCCCCATCCACAATTTCACTTTCTGTGATTTCGGTACGAAAATAGGTGATTATAGTACAATAAGATAGTTTTGAGAAAGATCATATTCATATATTTTATTATAGTATAATTACACTATTTTATTGTTATTTTTTGTTATTAATCTCCTACTATGTCTAGTTTATAAATTAAACTTTATCACAGGTATATATGTATAAGAAAAAACATATACAGCATTAGGTGCTATCCTCGATTTTAGATAATCCATGGAGAGTCTTAGAGTGTATCCTCCCATGGATAAGAGGCGATTACTGTATAGTATTTTTATTAGCCAGAAATTCCCTAGAAATAATTTATTTGAACCAGTGTGGAAGGAAGATAATCATCTCTCACCCAGCCCCTAACCCTGCCTGTTAAAACTCAAACCTCTTTAGGACTAGCAAGAATTGCTATTATTCAGGGCCCAGATCAAACTCATCACATCCACAAAATTTTCCATTTTTCTTTCTTCTTAACTCTAGAATCTATATCTCCTTATAGTATGAAAACCTTGGCATTATGTTTTTACTTTATATTATTTCATGTGTTCGTATTTTTTTCCCCATCTCCACTATATATGTAAAGTAAAAACATAATGCCAGAGGTTATTTGTGTTTTATTTGTCTGTCCTGTAACATGAGGCCAAAATTGGTGGTTTGTTAATTCAAACTGAATTAGAAATCTGACCCATGAATAATGTAAGATTTATTACATTTTTGAAGCTAGAACAAATGAAAATAGGTCATTCTTTTTAGTTTAGGTTCTAAAATTGTAATTATTAAACAGATTTTTCAGTCTATTACCATGCTTTCATTTAAAAACAAAGTTTTCAAACAATCTCACTTATTTATACTTTTCAGATTAGGGTTGATCCTCCATATGTGTAACATGAGCTTAGTTATTTCTTGTGACTCTGCTATTCTATCTTTACACTTAGAATACAGTGTTTGCTTGTATTCTAGCAGAACACCCTGGAAATATACTGCTACAAAATTGTTACATACACCTATCATCATAATATCCAATGTGAATAAACATCTTTAAAATCACACACAGCTAGATTTCTCTCTGGGCTAAAAATATATTTAGTACCTTCACTTCTGTGGAATTTCACAGCTTAATATTTTTGTGTTTTATTTTTAGTCTTTGTTGTATATAGAATATGAATTAGAACTTAGATTATTAAAAATGCTTAACTGAAGTAATTTTTTTCCCCTCATGTTCTACATCAAGTACAACATTAACTGCTGATGTTAGTTCTGGATTTGCCAAACGCATTCGACAAGACAACTCAAGCGATAAGCACTTACAAGAAAACAGACAAACAGTAGGTATGTCTACTCTTAATTTGATATTTAATGTCATGACTGCCTAATGTACATCTAGTATTTTATATATTTTACACATTTTTGTAAGAACCTACTTTTATCTATCATATCTTTATTATGTGGTATAACAAGTGTCATCCACATGTTACCAGTAGGAAAACTTAAGAGACAAAAGGTAAAGCACTTATCCAAGATTACACAGATATTATGGTAGAACCAGAATTCAGAAGCAGATTTTTCAACTGTACTTTCCACCCTTGTTGTTATCCATACTGTGGTTCATACTGTGGAAGAATTGGTAAATAATTTAGCTAACAATTGAAATAATTAACTAAATGTATTGTTTAGGCTTGGCACCTATACCTCAGCGGCTAGGTCGCCAGCCACACACACCAGGGCTGGCAGGTTCAAACTCAGCCAGGCCTGCCAAACAACAATGACAACTACAACCAAAAACAAAAAAAAATAACTAGGTATTGTGGCAGGCACCTGTAGTCCCAGCTACTTGGGAGGCTGAGGCAAGAAAATCTCTCAAGCCTAAGAGTTTGAGGTTGTTATGAGCTGTGATACCAACGCACTCTACCAAGGGCAACATAGTCAGACTCTGTCTCTAAATAAATAATTTAACAGTTATTTAATTAACAAATAAACTATGCCCATTTGTAGTTTTTCTCTTATCTTGTTATTCTGAATAATTTGGCCTTTGACTCCTTTGCCAAGCCTGTAGTCTGTACCTAATTGCAGTCATACTGTAATTGCCATTGGAAAGTTGAGAAAAATACTAATGTAGGTAACTATATGGCCTCAACAGCATGTGGAAGCGATATGAGTTCATATGACAAAATTACTTTATTTAAACTAGAAGTATATCACACCAACCAGTTTGTAGGCCTCAGTGGCTAGTTTTCTGTCGCTCCAGTATAGTTCCTAAGACTTTATTAAGAAAGTACTTATTTACTAAGCATTCCCCACATTCTAGGTCCTGTGGTGGATACAAAGATCAGTAAAACATGGAAGGTATTGTCACTTTTTTGTCAATGCTTTTTGATTAGAGTGATATAAAACTTCTCAATAAGTTTGCCAAACTATATCTGTAAAATGATTGCTTCCTATAGTGGCAGGTGCCAGTTATTTACCTTAAGTTCAAAGGAAATGCCTTTCATGTAAATTTAAAAACCAGACAGATATTACAATGTAAAATTTACTATGATTATTTGATTTGATATGCTACATTTAGTAATGCTTAGCAATATGTATCTATAGTTGGTATAGATGTGTATTATCCCATTGGACTCATGAAAAAATCCTCAAGAAGTCATAATTCTACAACCAAATAATTTATAAAAACTCTCAAGTCATGGAAGTTTTTCTAATACATTTATCATCTAAAATTTATCAAATATGTCATGTATGAAAAGAGATGAGTAAAAGTATCCACTATGAAAAAAAAAGTGGGAGATGATACTAAACCACAGTGCTCCCAAAAAAGTCGGGGGGACTAATGTAAAGTAAAAAGATTATGTTTCATTAGGGATAATATAGTCTGTAAGGGAAATTAGTATTTTATATACTTGAGACTATCCAAATGAAAATACGAAGTACACACCAGAAAAAAGTAATGAGAGAATATACAGACTGCCTTGCTTAGAATGTGTTGGACAGAGTTTTCTAGCTCACAACATATATTTGAAAAAATAAAGGACTATCATGGGGAAAGAAGGTAACTACAATTGAATGCTCAGTTAGAGAAATAAGAAAAGTATCAAATGAATGTGTACCTCTAAAACTAAAAGCTAATGTGATAAACAAAATGAGTAAGTAATTAGACTCTGAAGAAAGTACACTGTTGTACTAACACTTTGTTGAGTAGAGAATCATTTTGAAAGTTGATGAACCAGAAGAATGTGCCTAAATGAAACATACTTGAGAGCTAATGTTGAAAGGAGAAAGGTCTATGACATTAGGATCAGCCCTTTAGGAGGTGCAAATAATACTTTAAAATTGGAAAAACACCAAAGTTAAAATGCATGGGGAAATAATCCAAAGAATAAAAAAAATGGTGATATAAGAAAGGAATAGAAATAAAGGAGTAGAAATAAAGTCTTTTAAGTATGAACCTCAAGTGTAAATTTTCCCTTCTGTAGTTACAATTTTTAATGAATGTAAATTGAATGGTGAAAGCCTTTTGAATGATATTTTTACCATATTTATACATCTTTTTCTTTCTTCTCCAGAACATAAAAGAAACACCGGTAAAATAAACCCAAGCACGATTAGAAAATTTGGAAGAAGCATTTCTAAAGAAAATCTAAGATAAATCACTTCAAAATCAAGGAAAATGAAATTGATCATTTTTTTCTGCATCCCCTTTCAGAAATGTATTTAAAATCTTTGAAAGAAGACCCATCTTAAAATTAAGTGTACCCAAATACTTTAGGCAGAAATTGAAACTCTTTATTTTCATCTTTTATATTCTAAACAAATCTTAAAATTCCAACAGAAAAGGTTATGTGCTAAGTTTTTAAAATACTGCTACTCTTTAAAATCTCTAAGTCAGCATGGTGGCAGCTTAATTTTATAATGCTATAAGCTAATTAGTACATTTTAGAAAATAACAGTGAGTTAAATTATTATTTTTTTTAACTAAAAATTTAGAAGTGGTAAAAGTATGACCCAACAGGTATTTGGTCTTCTAGTATTATGTTTCTATACATTAGTTTCATAATATATGTGAATTTTCTCTTCAAAAATACTTTGATGTGCAAGTGTAGATATGTGTGCCCATGAAGTTGTAAATATTATTTAAATAGTTGTCATGTCTCTTGCTACTTGATATATTAAAGGTGTAGATTTTAAAGGATTTGGTTATCCTGTCTCATTACTATCTCTTACATAGTCTAAACTATTATTTTATATAAAGTGTGAATTTCGTATATTTGTGTTTTAGGTAAGATCAGGCAGGATATGTGGCACCAGAACCAAGTCTGAATATAATCTGTTGGTGTCTTAATGATAACAAGAAAAAGCATTTAATAGTTTCTGCTGCTATAGGAAATACATGGAGCTGCAAATTAATATGATATTGCTCTCTTGCCTTGTACGGCCTGCTTATCTGCTGACTATAATAGATATTTGATCAAATGCACTTTTAATCTTATGCAGCACAGGAAGCTATACACCAAAGTAAGCAACCGTACAACAAGCAGTTGGAACATTTTCAACTTACCTAGTCAAGTTTTTTAATTTAAAACTCTTTTAGGGGAGTGTGAGATAGAATAATCTTTACAGTCTTTGCCAACTTTGACACTGGTGATTCCATATTTAGAGAGTGTATTCAGGATCTGTCATGGGGAAAACCACCACACACATTTTTTTGGTCCCTTCATCATTTAGGTTTTTGTTGTGTTGTCTCTTCAACAATCCCTTTCATCTCTCTATTATTCCTTCCATTCTATTTTAGGTAATTGTATATTTCCAATGAAATCTTTATTAGATACTGATGAGTGGCTAACAAAATTACTAAGTATCCATACTTCATACCTCAAGGTATGAGTGTGATTTTCTTATATGCCATATTTTTTTTAGAGATTTTGTCTTCTATAAAAACTTGATAACAGTATCTTTGCAATGCTACCATATTACCATAAATATGTCATAATGGATTATTTGCATTTACTGGAACAAGAATGCTATTCAATATAAGTGACTGTGAAACCATTTTTAAATGGGCCCTTATGTAAAAAACAAATCAATCGTAAGTATATATAGCTCAGTGAATTTTCACAAAGTAAATATGCCCATGTAACTAACAGTCAGATAGTGAAATACAAAAATTATTCATACCTGAGAAGCCCTCCTTGTCAACACCACCTCTCAGGATAACAACTGTCTTAGCAGAATTCTGACACCATGGATTGATATATTTATTGATTCTTTTTCGAAAACCTTTAGTATATTTTTAAATGACACATAATTGTAATATGTATGAGGTACAATGGACTATTTCAATACATATATACATGTGTAATAGTCACATCAGTGGAATTAGCGTATCTGTCACCTCAAACCTTTATCATTATATTGGTAACATCACAGATACATTTTAACTAAAATAATTTTTATTAAAATACAATACCTGGGCTTGGCACCTGAACTCAGTGGTTAGGGCACCAGCCACAGGCACCAGGGCTGGTAGGTTTGAACCTGCCAGGGCCTGCTAAACACCTATGACAAAACAACAACAAAAAAAAAAATAGCCAGGCAGTGGCGCCATATGCCAGAGGTGGCAGGTTCAAACCTGGCCCTGGCCAAAAACAGCAAAAAAAAAAAAAAGCTGGGTGTTGTGGCAGCCCCTGTGGTCCCAGCTACTTGAGAGGCTGAAGCAAGAGAAGTGCTTAAGCTCAAGTGTTTGAGGTTGCTGTGAGCTGTGACACCAGGGCACTCTACCAAGGGTGACATAGTGAGACTCTGTCTCCAAAAAAAAAAAACCACACAATACCTTATTCTAAAGGATGATACAGAACTGTATAAAGTAAAAATATGCTTCCTCCTCACCCTGTACTAATATTCCCGGATGTAACCCCCTAATAATAATAGTTCAGGTGCCCTGCCAAATCATTTACTTTATCCATTTATAATCCTATATACTTGTTCTTTAATTGAAAATTGTATCATACTTTCTATATTGTTTTGCAATTTGCTTTTTTATTCACATTTAAAAGCATCATGGACTATCTTTTTAAAATTTAAGTGTGAATCTAATAAATGCTACTATACAACAAATAATTTTTATAGCAAACCAATAGAAACCTAGATGGCAGTCTCTTGACCTGCACTCCTCAGCATTTCTGAGAATAATTTGAAGTATTGACTATTATTTCTACATTGCAGTGTATAGCGTGTTCCACAGAACACAGCTTACCTACAATTGATTCCCTGGCAAGAAAAGGGTTCTATGTCACAGAAGAGTGGAAAATCCAGCACACTGGCAGATTGATTGTGCATATTGATGATATAAGCCCCTGAAGTCTTGTAACCAAGAATCTTAGTTGATTTAACCCAGTGGTTTCCAAATTCCTTTAAAAATCAAACTTTTTTTTTTTGAGACAGCATCTCACTTTGTCACTCTCAGTAGGGTGCTATGGCTTCACAGCTCACAACCTCCAACTCTTGGGCTTAGGCAATTCTCTTGCCTCAGCCTCCCAAGTAGCTGGGACTATAGGAGCCTGCCACAACACCTTGCTACTTTCTTTTTTGTTTGTTTGTTTTTTTGAGACAGAGCCTCAAGCTGTCCCCCTGGGTAGAGTGCCGTTGCATCACAGCTCACAGCAACCTCCAACTCCTGGGCTCAAGCGAGTCT